AAAAATAAAAATACTTTAGTTATCACTATGTAAACTTTTAATTCTTACTAAATACTATAAATTGTGCTTATAAGTAAAAGTATAGCTTATATTTAGAGCTACAAATCGATATATGATATTATATATCAAGCTTTAATCGAATTTGAATCAAACTTGAACTCGTATAATGATTCAGTTCAAACTTTGAATCTTTCTTGAACTCAAGTCAAAGTTTGATTTGAGTTCAGTTTGAATTTCAAACTGAACACGAATTCAGGCAAAAGTTCAATTTAGTTCAGTTTATAAAAACATTATTTATATATTATCAATTATTTTTGCACTTCTAATAATTCTTGTTGATATATCTCTACTATTAATATAGCTAATATTTCTTTGTGAATGTCAACTGGAGTTTAGATTTCTTTTACACTTTTTTCAAATTGAACTCATTATTAATATAATTGTACTATTGTTCAATTATCTTCATAGTTAAATATTAGAAAGTTATAACTCTTTAAGTTTTGTTCTTCAAATTCATCTTCATCAGAGCTTGATTTATCATCAAAGTCTTTGAAAAATTCATCTGAACTATTATAATCTTGTTCATAAATAAATTTGATCTTGATAATTTCTTTTTAATTGTTCTAATCAAATATTATAATTTTATTATGTAGATCAAGTTTGGTTTTGATCTTGTTTAGTAATTTATTTTAATTATTATACTATAAATATAAACTTTAGTAATATTGATGTCAGCAAAAATTATGATTCTGAAATTGTGATTGGAAAATTATTAATTGCTCTAAAAGATTACTTAGATTCATTATTGATATCAAATATTGTAACATTAAACTGGCATTAAATTTTGATTTCATATTTCTTGATAAAATTGACTAGTAACACAGCCAGATACTCCAGTATTAATAATAAAATTGATAGGAATAGTTCTGACTTTAGTTTTACACCAGATTGAGATAGTTCTGATCTTTTATTCAATCATTTTAGTAGTTTTTTGGTGATTTTTCTCTTGAATTGGATGAATTATCTCATGATCTTTGATATTTTAAGTTATTATTCTGATAAAGTTCAAATTAATTATTCAAAAATTATGTTGATTTTGCTAGAATTAAAAGTAATAATTAATAAAAATTTTCCAAAAAGCTCAGTTACTTATAAAATTTATTGAATTAATATAGTTTTCAATTTATCTTAAATTAACAAAAAAAGAATATATTATTCTATTTAAATATTTACTATTTTGTATAAGAATACTTAAAAATTTAATATTTTAATATTATAAATATTGTGGTAAATTGAGAAATATTTCATAATACAGTGATCAAAATTGAGCAATTTTTACATTGAACTAAATGACATAAAAATTATTCAATTCTGATTATTAGATAATAAAATATCCTTATTTAAAGATCATGATAGAGAAAATATTATAATAAAGATGAATATTATAATTTATTGAGAATATTTCATGATCTAGAATTAGAATTGAGTGATTTTACATTATTAACTCATCTTAATGAGATGAATTGAATAATATAAAAATTGCTCAATTCTAATTATTAGTTTATAAGATCCTCAATTTGTCACAATATTCATATCCTCTATAATACTTATATCTATCTTATATGTTTGTAATTTATTATTATTATTATATTTTCAATTATAAAACCAATTATTACAAAGCAAGATATAGTTAGGTAACTTTTCTACAAGTACTTAAGTTGGAATGATAATAGATTTTTTTTACTAAGATGGGCATTGTTCTTTATATTAGAGATAAAGGAAAGTGAAATTACAGCTCATCCTAGTAGTCATGTATAAATAGCCAAAGCTAAAGTTAGAAATCAAGAAGTCGACTGCCGTCTCAAACCAGGATTTTTGGGACCTTTCATGTGCACTGATAAAATTCTCAAGAAAGTTGGAGGAACAATCTCTAGACAAATAAGCTCTGAAGATAAAGATAATAAGTTATTCAGAGAGCTGACGCTTTCGTGGTAAATTATATTATACACTACATGTATATTATTGACCGAAAAAATCAAATTAACTCACCATCTTAACCTATGAGCAGGTACGTTTATGCCATTTTGTTGCTCCGGTCTAGCTGAATTGGAAGTGGATCAACTTACCAAATTCCGATTAATTGCAGTATCGGTATCATTAATACTGGTATTATCTTGATTGAGATAATTATTGAGCATAGTCATAAAATCACCCACTTGTGATAGTTTGATTATAGGCAGATTGAACTCATCTTCAGAATCAGATTCAGAATCGGGATGTGCTAGACCGGGCGCTAGATGATTCAGAATTGGAGGCGCCAAACTCAGATTCTGTTTCCGAATCACTTGAGTTGGTTCATTCATAGCTGTCATCGAAATCTTCTACATGTATATTGATATTTGCTATGACTTTTTTTACTATACTTATAATGTTCTTACAGTATTCCAAATAAGGAAATTCAGATTAGGACATGAATGAGCTATTTCTTTGATAGTTTCATTAGAAATACCCGAGATTAAGATGTTGGAGTTTAGGACAAAATTGGTAGTTTTATTAATAGTCGATTCAGGAATGAATGAACAACAGGCAATATCAAGATATTCTATATTACTACATGAATGAATACCGAATTCAGAAATCTGACAGTTCATAACATCGAGATGTTTAAGATTTGGACAATAACGAATGATATTGCAAATTGATGAATCAGACATGCTTATACATCAGAAACATCAAATTGCAACAAGAACGTGCAATTACATTGAGATCAGTAACATTACCACCACACTGTGAAATTTCGAGACGTCCTAAATTGGAACATGAGAATCCAATTGCATAGTTTTGGAATCACAGATATATAATTCTTCCAAGTTATGACATGATTGTGCAATCGCACAGACAGATTTATTGTCAGCTAAAAATATTGAAATACTTTAAGCTATGACATATTTGTGCAACTTTGCATACGGATTCATCATTTAGTGAACCATATATCGATATGCATAGCAATTTTAATGATCTAAATGAATTATATTTGGGCAGATCCCTATAATCACTTCAATCACTTTATCTGTAAGATAGTAATTCGTGAATGTGAAATACTTTAAGTTTTTACAATGGTATGGTCTTTTTTCTCTATGTATCACTTCTATGAGTTTGCTATGCCGTGCACTACATTCTCTCAACTCGATACATTTCCATAGAATCAGTATGCTACATTTATACCAAAAACGATTAACAAACAGAGCGGGATAGAGTGATCACCCCTTCCTCTATAATGCACGAAGTTGTAAGCTCAGCCGGACGTATACAAAGCATTATCATAACATCAGCGAGGGCTTGTAAATCAGGTACTGTGGATACATCATACTCATCCAACCTCTCATGTACCGATTCCAAAGTAAAGTGATCGGGGTAATCAATTTTTTCAAAGGCTTCGCCGGCCTTTTTTGCTGAACATGTAATTTGTGGGCGTTTTGTAGCCTCGATTATTCCAAGAGGAGCATTAAGCTTTCGCAGTTCTCTTCGGAGACGTGAGAGACGAGAGGATCCAACATTATCATTCGATGCTGAACTGGCCAAAGCACAAAATTCATTGAGCTAAATCTCTAATAGTCTCTTCTCCATTTTTGCATCGACCACTTTTCTGGCTAGGAATCAACGCACCCACCTGCTCTTCATTAACTCGAACATTTCCCGAAAACGCTGATTTCTCTTCTTATCCTCTGGAAGTTCGAGTATACTCTCTGTAGGGTCAGATTGTATTTTTCGACGAATTTCGATTTTCAATTTGAGAATCGATTCTCAACCCAAAACCGATTCTTAAATAGATCCTATTATTTTTTATTACTAAGAATCGAAATATCTAGTTCAGGAATTTACTATTAATTAATCTTTATTTATTAGCATTAGAAAAAATTTGTACAAATTCTCAGCTTCTTTTAATAAACATAATTTGTTCCACCAAATGGCTATTTTATCGATTTCGTTCATGTATAAATAAGTTACCCACATCTGAAATAGACGTTTAGATGGAACTGATATGGTAGGAATTGTCAAATATTTACATGCAAGTTGTGAAAGAATTGGTATAGGGATAGGAATCGATTCTCAACTCAAAATTGATTATCGAGCACAAATTACGATGATAATGACGACGGCGATGACTATGACTGGTCTTTGGTTTTTTTATTGCATATTGAGTTTTTCCTTTTTGATTGGAATATTTGAGGTTGTACTTTGAGTAGTTGAAATTATACTTTGATTAATTGAATCGTAGATAGTATAGAGGCAATTGAAGTATAGTGCTTCTGTATCCGTTTCATTACATGTATTTTCTGTTGTTTCATAAATATCAATTATTTTCGGCATTAGTATCACTATCAGAGTCATTAAACTCTATGTTGGCAATAGTTTCTTGATTATTATCAATATTAACATTTTTGTTGAATAACGGAGTACAGTCAAAGTCCTTTACAAAGGCCGCATTGGATTGGCACTTTGAGTCGGTATATAGTACTTACGCTATAAACTTCGGTATATAGGGAGTTTTTAAATAGTTAAAAATTGGGATATCAATACGGTATAAGCCGAATCCACCGTTGTAAAGGACTTTGACTGTAGTTTGTAACATTTGCAAATCGTTATCGCTATGTTATTAATCGTCAAATTTTAAATTTTAATCGATTCTCAAATATTAATCGATTCTACAAAATTAATCGATTCTAAATTAATTGATTCTAGAGGATTGATTCCTATTCCTAATTAGTAGGTTATAGTCTATTTGAAATCACATGTAGTTTTATGGAAATTACTAATTTTTGACATGATTAATTTTTGCAAAGCTTTTAATTAAAGTTGTTTAAAATAAAATTTTAAATTAAATTAGTTAAAAAAAATTGCCAATTTAATCCAACCCATTTTAACTTAATATTTAATTTAATATATTTTTTATTTGAATTCATATAATTTCTAGAAAATTTTAGATAAAACTGGTAATTTAGAAACTGTACAAAATATATTTTATTTACAATTAAAAAATTTAGAATATTAATAAAACAAAAATAGAGTTTATCCAAAATTATGAATTTAATAAAAACTAAGAATTATATAAAATCAACGATTTTTTTATAAAATGCTCATGAATTTCATAAGCTAGTTCATGTGAAACCTGTAGACTAACTGATTTACATGGAGATTAATTATTTACATGTATTATAATTTTATAATTTGGACAAATTTAATAAAAAGTTTATTTTTAATATAAATCTAAAAATTTATTTTCATTATTCATTTTGTTTAGAGATGTTAATCAGTCTTTAAAAGTTTGGAATTTGTCATTGTCTATTAGCAACTTATGAAACAAATAATCAATATATCTTAATAAGTTAAACTTTTAATATGACTTGATTATTTAAATAACAAAAATAATATGTCTTACACAAATTAAACTCGCATCTATTCTTATAAAAACTGAATTCATGAATAAAGAATATCATTCTTGGATAATATTACAGACCAAAAATGAAAAAATTCTCATCCTTGGATAATACTAAGGATGCTTGCCTAAATCCTTTCAGAAAAATATCGTCATAATTTCGACGGGTTACACACTAATTGTTAATTA